GAGAGACTTATCCGCGATTATGTATTTACATAATTTGAAATTTTACATAGTTGAGAAGCGATTTTGAAAATTGAAGTTAATTTTCTTCATATCAGGTAAAGCAAATATTGATATAGACATAAGGAAGCAAATTCACTCGCATTCGTTGAATTTATTCACGTCTTTTAAAACGAATTCGTACTGCTAAAAACATCCGTCCAACATTAAATAAAGAATAAATCAATCGGTCATTGAACTTGACATCGAACATGATTCCCGTTTTATTAATCATCATATAAAGAAATACGATGCTGCGTTCACGAGAGTGAGGTCTATTTCTGATCATGATGCTTACAAGGCGCTCTTAATAAGACGCGGAATTTCATACGATCGTGCATCGCTCCGATAATAATTAAATCAGTAATGCTCGATAAGAATCCGAAGTATTTTCACTTGTCGATCCATTTGCAATTCTTATCGTAAATAGATAATTCTTCGTAATTATATAAATTTTATATCTACATGAATATCGTTGAATTAAAGATGTATCTAAAGACGGTACCGAAAAATTTTTTTATAAAAATTTCATAAATTGTTCTATTACATCTGTATATCGGTGTAAAATTTGAACATTGTTCTCTCATTATATAATTTAAAAATATTTAATTTTTTGTTTGTTTTGATTTTTATGCGTTTTGTGATATTTATTTGCAAATTTGATGACGAAGTAAAATTAAGAATCAAATTTTACACTTTACTGATCAAATAATAATAAAAATATTCGTACAAAAGTTTATTTGGACTTACTCATTTAAAAGTTGACTTGAAACTGCAGACAAAAATAAAGTTATTTTAGTGCATAAAATTTATTATAAATCAAATTTGTTGTTTCGTTTTTTACAGTTAATTTCAGGATGTATTTACAGGCCAACATCATCTTTTTAAAATGATATTGGCTACACTGTAAAAATAAAATGTTAATTTTAACTTAAAAACATATAATTTTTAAAATATGCAAAAATGTTATAATTAACATGTTTGTGTTAATTTTAACATTTTGCGTGTCTCAAAAAGTCTATTGTATATCTGTAAGATAAGATTAACATTTCATTTTTTACAGTATATATATTAGCTTATTTTGTCTCATTCTTTGACTAATACTTTTATCTGATATTGTGTAGCCAAAATTATTTTCCTAAGATTCTGAAGAATTGTTTTCTTTTTTACGAAATTTTACTCGTGTTTATTTACTTTTTTAATGAATAATTATTAATTTATTTTTCACGAAGATTATGCGCTTATCTTATCTTTTTAGTAAGTACCGTTTAGAAAGAATCGTTTTATCTTTTTAAATATATGTTTACTCCGAGTAAATACCTTTAAACATCTTTTTATCTTTTTATCTTTTTAAATATATGTTTACGTTGTGAAGGAGATAAAAATTCTGAAGGTATTTGATCTCCTCTTGCCAATAATTAATCAGCTGTTATTTACAGCGATCCTCATTCTTCCATTCTGCGCTTGAAGTTAGCAGCCGCGTACTTAATACAGTATGCTAATTTCGTGTTGGCTTCCATTCTGATGCTCGTACTGTAATGGGCATGTGGCAACTTCAGCAATTGCGATAATAATACGCACTGCGCAATTCTTGACGAGAAGGCGTAATCTACAATCTCATTATGCCGCCTCTGTTTTTTTCTTTCTTTTCGACCGCGTATCTATTAGCGAGGACTTATCATGTTTCTGTCGAAATTAAAGGATTAACCGCATTGCATTTTAACATGAAGAATGTACAATAAATTTTAATTTTTAATGTAAAAAATTTACTGTGTTTATTTTGTCTTAGTACAAAACTTAATTAAACATAAAGATTAAATGACTTTTCTAGCCGAGAGAATTCTTAGCAATTATTTAATTTAATAAGAATTTATTTATAAATATTGTATTTATAAATATAATAATAGAATAATAATTCACCTTGCCATTAATAAATGGAGCGAATATCTTGCACAAATGTCGAACAATTGTTAGACGTGCAATAGATTATTCATTGAAGGGAATGTGGAGTGGAAATGAAACCAGCTTGCAAAGAAACGTAAAATTCTCGAAGCCGCTTTTATAGCCGTCTCTAACGCATGCTTTTCGTATTTATTATTACCACAGAGAAAGAGGGGAGAGGGGGGGAGGGAAATATCTTTTTCGCTGTAAACCTCAGCAGTGTCCTTGTTGTTGAGCTTCCACGATAACAGTCACGATTGAAATAAAGAAGGCCAACTTCTCTGTAATGAAAATGATTAGATAAAAACGCGTTCTATGTTTTGTGTTATCCTTGAAATTATTTTCCAAAGCTATATGCATTTTTTTTTTAAATTACCTCAATGATAACAGCTATTGTTCTTGACGTTAATTCCTAGTTCATTTATCCGCGGGAAAAAATGACTTTTCCGCGCTGACTATTTAATCGAAATTGTTCAGAATTATACGGTCAAAGGTAAAAAAAAGATCGCGGCTAATCGTGAGAATTGCGCGTGTAATGCTACTAATTGCAAATGCATCGCTATGCGGTATGTAAATACGGCGCATCGTGGCGTTACACTGTTTCTCGTATCAATCATGACAGCGGATGACTCCACGAAAGTCGTTCTTTTTACATGGCATATTGTTATTCCTACGTCATTGATGCATCCTCCTTTTGTCTTGAATTGCCCATGGTCGCAAACACATGTGCGCATTACTAGAACGCAAATGATCTTTATGCCACGTTGTCGCGCTGTTAATCATCACGCTCTCTCAATTAAATTTCTTCGTCTTTCCCTTAATTAATTGTGCGACATACATTTCTACGTCGCTAATTGTCGGTATATCTTCAATTATATTAATGGCTCTTGTTATTCGATCAATGACATCGATTGCTCCAACATTTGACATTTCTAATAAAATCTTGATTGATTGAACATCGCGAAACCGGTCTGTTATTTTAGTATAGCACTCTGACATTTTCACGAGCTCGTTATAGGATCTCATTGCGTATCCCTTTTATATTCTGAAATTAATCGGTAATTGAAGTCAGGACTGGAATTAATATTAACTTTTGGGATTGATGAGAGCTGATCGCTCTCTATTATATTATATATTGAAATAAAAAAATCATTTTAGCAAATTTAAATCGACCGTAAGAGAGTTGAATTTATCTTATTGTTGTAGGGTAAACTTAACTTTTTTTAAAGAGTACATGGAAGAAGAAAAAAGTTTGATTGAAAGTACTGAGATTATCATAAAAAAAAAAATAAGTGTAAGAAATTCTAAAGATCTTCTCTTATATCCAAGGCTTAAGTTCTTTTTTCCTTTTTCTTTCGATACAAATTTAAAAGTTTAATATCTTTTTATATATTTTCTCGTTTAATTACGCCACGCCTGTTTCCGCATCTTTGCCTTCGAGTGCAGAAACGATGACTTGCAGCTTTAAGATGCGCTGCACTTTCTCCGAACGTGTTGAGAACGTCGAATGTCATTTTTCATTCTGCTGACTTCCGGTTCGTCTCGTATCTCCATCATTATGGGCTTACGAGTGCGTTCGTCGGATAAAAAAAAATAATTAATGAAGTTAGCGCGTTAGGATCTCATTGACGATGATGTACCCGCTTGATGTTGCTCTTCCGTATCGCGCTCGTTGCATCCGCCTGATCAGCATATCGATGCACACGACGCAACGAAATACGTACGACCGTTTGGATTATTCGGATTATATTACCATTATTCGTGTTTACAAACGCGATATATTGATTGAATTAATTTTAATTTTATTAACACTCTAGCAATAGGAAGATAATGAAAGAGGAAGAAGGGAGAGAGGAGAGAGAGAGAAGCGAGGAAAGGAGAGAAGACTTTACTCATTTACATTTAGGATCACAAAAACGCACACACTTTTATTCTCTCTCTCTCTCTCTCTCTCTCTCTCTCTCTCTCTCTCTCTCTCTCTCTCTCTCTTTCTCTCTCTAAAACAAACACAAGAACTATCATGATTTCAACCGCCTACTTCGCAGCAACGAACTTTGTGCTCGACGTATTTTGTGTGTGTGTGTGTGTGTGTGTGTGTGTGTGCGTGCGCGCGCGCGCGCGCGCGCGTGTGTGAGAGAGAGAGAGAGAGAGAGAGTCTCTCCTTCATATATTTTATTATATATATATATATTTATATATTATATATATCGCTTACATTCATAACTTATTTACAACTAGAATTATT